GCTTCCAATAACCGTGTTATTTGGAATTCCACAGTGCCACCAGTTATTGAAAACGAATCATTGGAAATTACATGCATAGCGTACGACGGTATGTATTATATAACATTAAATTAAAATTTGACCTTATACAATTTCTCAGTAAATAGTTGTTATTTATGCGATTTTTCACGATATTGATGATAAGCAAGAATGTAAAACAACGCAATCAGACAATGCAGGCTCATTTTTTAAAAGTCAGACATATATCATTATAAATCTGTCTTCGTATTCAGTACAAATTAAAAAAATTATTTTATTTTATTAATATAATTTTATGATTCCATATAAAAAATCGTAGTTAAAATTTATTATAAAAATAATCCAAGAATTTTTTTGATCAAGTGATCGTAATGGGTTTTTTTTATAACATACAGAATTTAAATAATGTTAGTAAATTTAGTTTAATTTTTTACTCTTTTTTGTTTTTTTAGTTTTTTAGACGTCGAGAAAAATATGCGATTAACTTTTAAAAGAAAAGAAATTAAAACAAAACAAATAAATAAATCCCAACGCCTACGAAAAAATCTTTATTCGATTATTTATTTTCAAATATTTGGTCGTGTAGAATCTATTAATCGCTATAATTTAGACAATATTTTTCTTTGTTACAAAATTATTTACATAATAACTATCATTCCATTCAAATTAGGCGATTCGCTTTTGGTTTTAAATTAAAAATAATAAAGCTTCAATTAATTGTAATATCTTATTTTAAAAGTAACTTTTTTGACTCAAAACATTAAATGTAATTTATGTCATAAAACACTTGCAAAACAAAAATACAGTTAAATTACAACTAAACTTGTTTCAAACTCTATTAAATGATAGGTATTTGTAAATGATAAAAACATAGACGTTATACCTGGTAACTGCTTACTATTACTGATAATTTATTTGAACTGTACAAGCAAATAAATATGCGACACTTGACATATACTAAGTATAAGTTCAACAAAAAATTACATTACGGAAACAACATACAACATGCTAGGTAACATTAAAACAAAAATGTAGTTTACTATTTACAATCTTAACTTAAAATAAAAACTCCACGATAAAATATGAGAACGTATCAATATACGTATTCAAATATTCTATTGAATCATTGTGAATTATATTTATACTGATATTATTTTATAAAATTGTTTAATAACCTGATATTTTAAAAAGGGCTAATCCCGTTAAATTTATAAATAAATAAATATAATAGAAAAATTCAACTGTGCATTTTGATGAAATTTTATTAGAGTCACTGTTCTTAGTTACTTTAAATTATTTTAAAGTATATATACCAGGAAGAAAATTAACATTTCTTAATTTAAAAATTCATACATTCTTGATAATAATTTAAGCTAATTTACTGAAACATCAACAAAAAATGTTAAGTTTTAAAGGTCAATCCTTTATGTATACAAAACTATGAAAAATAAACAGATTACGATTATCATGAACTTAACAGATAAAAGAACATCTTGAACTCTTTATATAAATAAAACCTAACTTAAAACTTCTGGCACGAACGCCAAATTTGTGTTTATTATCTATAATATACTCATAAAACTTTGCTATGACATATGTCAAGAGAATATAACATTCATGTGAAATATATGATTTTCTAATAAATATCAATTATAATGGCTTAAAAATTCACGTAGTCTTTTTTGTTTTAGCGTTTAATTTTTATACATTTTATTAAATTTTCCAAATAATGAAATTACCGAATATTAAATAATTTAACATTTATTAATATTTAATAATTAACAAAAAAAAAATTTAGTATGGTGAAAACGTTGTCATCAATAATGGCATAAACAGTTATTAATTTTTATGTGACAATGCTTTAGCATAAGTTAAGTGACTGAGAAGTCATAAACTCTAGAATAATTTAAGTATAATAAATCTTTTAAGTGTAATACATTAGAGAAATGATCCTATGAGACCATGAAGTTATTTTGAGGGTGAACACTGAAATGGTGCAACAGTGTGTGTTGCCATGTGTTGAGAACCTAAATTTATGACGTTATTTTGCAGTGGTGTTTTTGAACATTAATATATCGTACTCAAAAATTATTGCTTTCTAGTTTCTATGATTTATACAAAAGTAAAATGAAATGTAATTAAAAATACGTTGAAGCAAAAACTGTATTTTTTTATCATTTAAATGTTTTATGTACAGGTTTTTTACATAGTTTGAAAAGTATTAACTAATAATTTAAACGGTTTTCATACATTCGAAATGATTAAAAATAAAATTGTAATTATATTACTTTAGAGTAATAGAATTACAATTTTTTTTTTTTGATTTTTATGTAGTTAATAGTAACAGATCAAAAATGAAAGTGAAGATAAATCGTACTTTTTTTGTACATTTATAAATTTTTATACTTTAGATTTTAGAAATTACATTTTGGTAGAATTATTATATTTACTTTTTATGTTTTCGGGTTATAATCCATTAAAATCTATTTTTAGTTTTATTATTAATAAAGGAAGTACCAAGTATAAATTAAAAGCTCAAAATATAAGTAGTTATATATATTTTTAAATTTGTAATACTGCTTTAAGTGTATTTTTTTCCAAGTGTGTAAGTTTGCAAGAATTTCGAGAATAAAAAAAGTTATAAAACTTTCTGTAGCTGATGTCGAATAATAATACCCTTGGGTTCATTAAAATAAATGTGTATAAAAAAAACTATGATTTTAAAGTTTTTTCATTTGTTAAGTTTGTCAATAAGTTTGTTTTATTGCGAAATTCCAACGATGTATGAACACGAGAAACATTCATCTCGCCATAACATCAAGATTTATCTTATTTTTGTATATCTCTATAAGTAATTACCCAAATGAAAGACACATATAGGGTTAACTCCATTCCTCTATAAGACATTAAATTCACCGTTTTCAAAGCTATAAAAATTACTCCCCTGTGACCTTAATTTGAATACATGTAAAGTTCACTAGATAGACATTACCATTAACAAGCTTTACGCTACAAGTAGGTGTATGGTATTATACTTCTCGTATATGAAATTAAATTTATATTTTGCAAGAGAGTGTGCGGTTTAATTTATAGTGCAGAGCCATGTGCTCGTGCAACTCCAACGCTATATTAACATTAATTTAATAATTAAATTTAAGGTATGTAGTGTTTTGTTTTTATTTAATCCATAACTTGTAACAATAATTGATAAACGTGATAGAATAACGTTATATTTATTGATACTAAGCGTTTAAGTGTTGAAATTTGAAATGCAAATGGTGTAATCGGTTTATTCTATCTCTTAATATTTATGACGTTAATGTAAATAGTTATAAAAAGTATTGTTGACCAAAGATAAAATAATAGATGGTTAAAACATAACAAATATTATTAAAAAAGATAATTTAAATTAAATATAATAGTTAGAATAAGTACACTGGAAAAAAATTATAAAAAGTATATAGAGTAACGAATTACTAAACAAAATCTCTTTAATAAGTGAACACCGTCGTTGTTACTTAAAATTTTAACTCTTTGACATCTAAACTGAATAATTTTTTACGCATACATGTAATGGATTAATTTAAAATTCTTATATTGTCATTCAAATATGCTACAGTTTATATGTTTATATACTAAAAAAAAAAATGTTTGGAAAATTGGCAAAAAATATATCTAAGTATACATAAAAGAGTAAAATAAGTACTAAGAAATTTTTAATTTTAACATAATCGCACTTAAATAAGGTATTAAAATGTTCTGGAATATGCTTCAAAAATCTAATATTGTGTATGATAAAAAAAATCCTAGGTTTTTTTGAAATAATGAGATATACGATATGGTGTTATCAATAATGCCACAACATGTTATTTTCGTTTTATTACTTATGTATATCTTATAGTAATATCTGAATAAATACATTTTAAATACTTGTAAATATTTTCTGTAAGAAAAATATAAAAAAAATGTTATGGCATTTAATTGTATTATCATTAATATAAATTTTCTCTCATAAAATTATTTCACTGAGAATAATATGTGCTATTAACTCAAATAAATCATCGATATACCAAATATGATCATTCAATCAAAATATACTAAAACATGCAATATAAAACTTCATTATTTTATTAATGTTGTTACGAAACAGATTTGTATATCACTCAGAATATTTTTCCATGTAGCAAAATGAAACATGCAAATGTATGAACATACGTTTATGAGCAATTAAAATAGTATCCACTACAGGGCATATTCAGTTTTTCAAACTTAAATTTCATTTGGAAAATTTATTATTTATTTTGCTATCGCTAAAAGTACTTTAATTCAAAAATAGATGAAAGTATAAATCTTACGTCCAGATATTAAAAGTTAATTAAAGCTGAACGTCGATTATAAAGTAATAAAAGTTAATAGTTTATAATAAAAGTTAAAATACTTAGCATCTTTTTTTCTTTTAAAAAATCTATTAAATAAAATTGTTTATCATAATATTAAATAATTTTTGCTCGAAACAAATTATTATAAGTTTTAAATTGAAAAAGGTAATTGATAATTAATAAAATATAAAAGATCAAATTCGAGTAATTGAAAATGTATTTAACATGTTCATGTGTAGTTGTTGCCAGTTATTATTAAAATTAAGCAATTAATTTTGAAGAATTTTAATGTATTTAGTCATTTTATTAAAACATTACTTTTGTTAAATTTTTAAAATGTAAATCTTCATTCGCATTTCCAACTTAAATTATAATTAACATTGATTATTAATAATCAATAAATCAAAAAATTCTTTTTATCAGAGTAAAAAATTGTATTTTTAAATAAATAAAAATTATTTTTTTTATATAATCTCATTATAACTATAAATTGTCCGTATATCTTTTGCAATTTTTACTCAAATAGCTATTTCATACTCAAGGACAGTGATACCTAAGTTTAGAGTTTCCATACTCAAACATAAAAAAGTACTGTCACGTTCAGTTATACCTTTTTGAAAAAGTACATCTTGTGCATTATCATCATCATTAAAGTTGTGCAATAAAATTTTAACTTTTTCATATTATCATGTATATTTTAGCACAATACTTTACAATAATTTCTATATATTACTCGACTTATAAAGGTAGTACCTTGTATATATAATTATTTAAATTACTATTGTAAATCCGAATAGTATTATCATTGTTGTAGTTATTTCTATAATTATAATAATAATTACTAGTGAATTTATAATAGAATAGAGCAGATTGTCAAAGTTATAAAAGCTCTCCAAAACGCTGATAGAACTTTGTTAGGCAGACTACAAATATCATTGAATTCTAAAATTCAATTCTCTTAGCTTTGTACTGTCTCGCGGTATATAGTGGTTAGCGTCACAGTACATTATCTTGAAACAAGCCGTTTTTAATGTCGAGATCTTCGGATTAACCAAACCACAATCCATGATTTACGCTGATAAGTGCGAGAGGATAACTCGCTTTTAAGCTAATTAAAATATTATTCTTCAAAAAATCTGAGACGCAAACCGTTATTTCCTTTAAAAGTTTATACTACAAAAAGCTATAATAAAACCAAATCTCTCTTAAGTGACAAAAAAAATTTAACCGAATACAAAAATTGCAAAGTTTTGCAAATGGCTTGAATGTTTTTCTGCGTGGTAAATACACAGGACAAATGTCCTTAGACTGTAGGCGTGTACCCTAGATAATATAAAACTATTTATTTTACTCTAGTTCTTACATTTTTTCCTTTCCTATGCACTGTTTCACTAGGAATTCTTATGAGATAATTATCTCTAAAAAAAAATAATAATAATACGCATCTAAATAAAACTTTCCTTCTTTTTACTCACTCGTTTCTTTATTTAATGTAATTTGGTGTTAACAACTCAATGATCATTTTGTTTTTGTTTTTTTTTTTTTTTTT